ACACAATGACAAATTTAACTAAAATTCGACCTTTTAACAATTAAATAGATGAGAACCGTTTATTGGGAACTTAAATGTTACAGAATCAAACATGTAGAGATCCAAATGTTACGAGTGAAAGGTTGAGAATTAAATGCTCTACTTTGTAATGGTCCAGTAGTTTGGCTATAATTTTTTCCTATGTACACAGCACCCGCACAATGTACATCGGTTTTGAAAACATATATTAAGACCAATCAATGAACGAAATATATACATGTCTGTATATATATTTGAATTAACATAAGCTATATGTCTAGGACCACCTGAAAATCTATATACTCCAATTATTGAAAGTGTACCCTGTGAGGACCAACTTTAATCAGTGATAAACTATTAAAATTTCAATACCTGTTCAAGGGTTAAATTTGTATGTAAATATGAACTGTACATACACATGTAGAGAGAGTTTGGTGGGAGTGGTTATGGCCCTTGTGGTCCTCACGACCTTATACTCTCTTTTTATCTCAACATGTACTTGTTTCTTGCTTATTCTTCCTACCTTTTTCTACCATGCCTTAAGCTTCATCATTACAACTTGCCATCTCTTTGCAATCATAAGACATTAAGTTCATCCATGATGAAAATCAAGAAAATGTTGGAAGATGAAGAAAATGGATTTGAGGAAGAAGAAGAAAAGGGAGAAGAGGGTGAAATGGAGGATTTTAAGGAGAGTAATTTGAAGAAGAAAAGGGTGAATCTTGGTGGTGGTGGTTCTGGAATGAGAGCTCGGGTCGGTGGTGGTGGAGTTGCTCAACCGTGTTGTGTAGTGGACAAGTGTGAGGTTGATCTGAGAGGTTGCAAGAAGTATTATCAAAGGCACAAGGTTTGTGAGGTCCATTCCAAGGCTTCTGAGGTTATAGTTTCAGGGGTGAGGCAGAGATTCTGTCAGCAATGCAGCAGGTTTGGCTAAGCTTTCAAAAATTACTTCAAGAAACATGTATTAGTTTTTTTTGGTCACCATAGTTACTTATTTTGAAGGTAACCCATGACCTAATATCAAAATAAGTAACTTTTCTTCCTGTCAGTAGATAAATCAAAACCATCTAAACATATTTGAAAACATAAATTTACTTCGTTAAAGTTGATTGAAAGTTCAGGCAAAATGCTCACCGTGTATTTTGAAGTACTTATTCCTACTGCAAATTGGCAACTTCCAGCATTTGTATTAGCATGTGACACTCTTGTGAGACTGTACAACTTACAGTTTAAGACTATTTCTTTATTCATCTTTCTTGAATGACTAACATAAGTTTATAATCAGGGATTTTTACCTATACCTAAGATGTTTTGAGTCTATTTTTTCCCTAGCTAGGCTAAAGTTGGACCAATCTTGACCTTCCGTGTCATCCAATATGGAAAGGTTAATTGTGATTGAGATTAATTTAGCAGTACAAAAGCTCAGAAAACAAGACCGTCCTATTTTCTCTAAAACAGGACCACTTCAAATTCATAAGTTATTCGCTAGAACCACAACGAAGAGTCCACAACTAAGAAATATATGCTGGACTAACTGAAACCTTGTGCCTAATTTTACATCCTCGCCTGTTGACAATGAAGTCGAAATCTCTCCACACTTTCTCCACTTTTAGCCTTAAAATGAGACAGTAGGAAGAAACATCGCTGCTGCATAATTATACCCTACCATAGTCTGTGATGGATCCAAGAATCTAGGTAATCTAGGTAAGCACGGGTGGCCCCTATAAGGAATTTTTCTTTTTTTCTTTCCTCCGTATCTGATCTGATTGAAAAGACAAATCACTGTACAGTAGAGTTCAAGATAATGTCTGCATATATTCAAGGTTCAGTTGAGGACTGTTCTCCTCTACTGTAATATATATGTCTCTCAAAATGTTTGCTGAAATGTACTTGTCTTTGCTATTAAGATTTCACGAGGTCTCAGAATTTGATCAGACAAAGAGAAGCTGTCGCACGCGTTTAGCAGGCCACAACGAGCGGCGTAGGCAGAACTCTTCAAGACTCGTGAAGAGGGCCCAAACCTCAGAGGATTCAAGAACAAAGAGTTTAGGCACCTTAATGGCTTTCTCTGAGAAGCAAAGTTACAGGATCACCCGGATGTCTTTCTAGGATATGCTTACTCTCTTCTGTCATCAAATTGCAACATTATTCCCTGACCCTTTTAAGGATGTTCTTTTGAGCTGTTGCGTGTCACAGGATCAAGAACAGATTGTATTCCTTGTCATTGCAACTGCATGTCCATCATTAGCTTTCTTTTAGCAGTTTGTGGAGACTAGTATGGTATAGTGGATTTGGTGCCAGGTTCGATGATATATACTTTTCTATCTCAGTATAACAACATTCGTACTCTAGTTGATGCAACCATCTACAAAGACTATAATCATGGTTTAAGTAAGACCATCTGTATAATAACATTTCTCTGCATACATGGTTTAAGGCCCCGTTCGGGAGGGCTTAAATAGGTTAATTTTAACTTTTATACTGGCAATAACCCAGGATGGGCAGATTATTTTCAGTTGTTATTGCCGATATAAAAGTTAAAATTAGACTAAAATTTCACTCCCAAACAAGCTCTAAGTAAGACCATCCGCAAAGACTATAATCATCCGTTCAGCGAACATAGATCAATCTCAACTTCATCAACAAACTACTTGGGTAGTCGATCACTCTTGGCATTTGGAACCATGCCACCTAACAGAGGACCTGTTGGTAAAGATCGACTCAACTGAACACAAGCCCTATACAGACACTTTGCTCGAACTTTATCTAACAATTGTCCGACCAGGTCAACCCAATAAAAGACCTCCTAAAGCAAGAGCCATTTTCATAGAAAATATGTTTCCGTCAATTTAAGTTATCATAAAATGTGATTTTTATGAATATATCAGTATATTATTCTTTTGTTTTGAATTTTCTATAGTTCAATTCTCAATTCCTGTAATATTAATAGCAATAGCATTTGCTGTATAATTTCTTATAACAGAAAAAGATTATAACCAATCGATCCATAATAATTTAATTATTTTATAATGAAGTACTAATAATGCTAACCTCTCATCCATCTGATACAAGCAGCAGTTTCATACTTTTATATCAACATACACAAGCCATCTCTCTACAGTATCAAGAAATATTAATTATCATCAAAAAGGATGATAAATTCTATTTATCTTCCGCATCACTCCTAGTTGGATGAGTATCAATATTGAATTCAGACTCGTCTCCATCAACGATCATTCCTCTGTTCCGGTAAACATACATGATAACATTGTTGTCACTGGGAATATAAATGTCGAAATTCTATGAAGAAAAAAGCTTGCAGTAAAGGAGAGAAAAAAATACCTTTCAAGAACAAATTTCCCTTCTTTATATTTCTGGCTCTTCTCGTGTGCTGCCACCTGGAAGAATAAAATGGAATATTTAGATAAATTGAACTCATAAGCAGCTTCAAGAAGTCTAAATGAAAATGAAAGAATCTGGTGTAAGAGATTACAAATTTCCAGCCAACTATTTGCCCACAACGACAGCAAAATATATCTGCTACGGTGTGCATTCCAGAAAGCATCATTCTCTCCTCTAGAGTTCCAACTTTGATGTTTGCTCTGATCATAAAGCATTGAACACCATCAGTCACGCCGGTGAAGTTTCGTGATAGTTACCGAACTTTAGTTTGTTCCAAAATGATCGCTAAAGCTTAATCGCTCAAATTAAAATCTCAGTTTCATTGCAGAAAGTCCAAAGTGTCAGACATACTCCAAAAAAACCTAAACTAGCAACCGGAAATGAACTTGAACTTTGCCGCGTACAGTGAGTGGATAACTCTTCCATTACCAGGCCAAGTTAAGAAATCTTTGCAAAACTAACCCGTAGTGTCTTTTTTTTTTAATCAAAAACAGAACTTCAGTTGCTCATTGTAACAAAAGAATATTATCAAAAACACAGAATCAATCGAGTAATCTATGTTTACTCCATGGATAAATTCTCTCATAATAAATAAAGAAACTTTATTTCGGTGAGGAGCTTACGCATTATTAAAGAGGTATGCCTTTCCATTGCGGCAGTGAAATGCCTGAACAAAGAACACAGCACAAATGAATATAAAAATCTTACCCCCAAATCCAAAAACATAGTCTAAAACCAAGAAAAAAGAAATCGCATAGAATTGAAACAAAAGCTAAAAGATCTGATCATCTGAACTCAAGCAATATAAATTATCCAATTATCTACCCGTACATAAAAAGGATTATCGAGTTCAGACCCAAAAATATGCAGTTGCACAAGGCAAAAATTTATGAATTAACAGATTATAGTACCTTGGAAACAAGTTCATCAGCCAGAGCTAAAGGGGTTTTGCAGAATTTGCATTTGTACGTCCTGCCTTCAAGATCCACCAGAGTCACAGATATCCCTTCCATCTCTCTTTCACTCTCAGTCACTCACACAAATGGATTCACTTGAGCAGAAATTATAAACCCAAAATTCTACTTATAATTGAATCCAACCAAAAAAAAAAAGAAGTGGAAACACGATGAGAATGTCCAATACAATGTCGATCAGTAGCTGTCTTGAGTCTCTGTTTTTGTCCTATTTCATCAATTTTATCGAAATTTATTTATTATTGAAGTATTTTGCGCGATTCTTTATTTTTGCATTCTTGTAAGTAATTCATAAGGAAACTCGAAATGCCGTTGGATCCAACATAGAGTTTTCAACTTTTTAGTGGTAGAAAAAAAATGATGACCTATAGTCGTAGATTAAAAATCGGGCGACTTTAAAATTCAATTTTATGCGTGGACGAGTGTTTAAAAACATAATCTGATAGTCTCGCTCCATCTGTTCAACCAACAAGACTCGGCAATTGAGAATTAGCACTGGTAGAGGCTTCTAAGCCAACTTGATTGAGACTACACGACGCAAAATATTTCATTTTTTTCGCCTCAAATAAGATATTCTACGCAATACGGGACATGACACTCTACAAGTAAAGATGTTAAGATTCTATGTTGGATCAGTATTCAAGATCTTTGTCATAATTTATACAATTTTAAACTTATGCTGCCAAGGCAAATGTCGTGGCTATTCCTATTACACCAAATCAAAACCTCTCAGCTGTCATTACCACAGGTTGAGCTTGACAGTGCTTCCTTGCAAGGAAAGGATCCCTTTTGATTGCTTCTTGTAGCTGCAGAAATTTTTCAAATACCAAAATGTTAAAAAAATACAAGTTCAATTGACTGATATCTTATCCACCGTTAGGAGTCCTAAGAATGATAAATGATGAATCTTTGATAACAATGATGTATTGCTATATTTTTATTGTAAAAAACGTTCATACCTTCCAATTTTTTACATTTTCACCCTTCATTCCACGTTTTATTGTGCAAAACGTCATTTCCGTCCATTTCCATCCAAATGCTCCGTTAAGTGAATACATGAACACTGCTCTTTTCGAAGGGGAAGTATCTGTAAAGATGAAGGCAGGCAATGGAATGATTAATTTCTCATTTATTGAGGTGAGAGTTTTATACACGTTTGTACATTCTTATCAAGTTTTCAAAATAGAAAACTAACAACCTAAGCTCCATCTGCAATACATTTGAAATACAAAACCGATCGAGATATGTGGATTGTTCAGAGCTTATCATGATCCAATAAGAGATAGGAGAGAAGTCCAGGTCTTTAGAAACGCCAAGACCATGTATGTTAGAGAGATCGTTATCATGCCCCCTCAAGATGGGCTGCTGGGAAGAAGACCAATCTTGGACTTTAAGAAACTCAAGCAAAGTCGGGACAGAGGTTTCGTCAAAGCATCAGCTAGCTGATCTTGGGAATTGACATGAGCAACACGCAGAGCACCACTTTGAACCTGCTCCCGAATGAAATGAAAATCGATAGCCACATGTTTCATACGAGAACGGAAAACCGGATTTGATCATAATTGAGTGGCACCCACATTATCACAGTAAATCACCGGTGTATGAGAGAGAGGGAATTGCAATTCAGAGAGCAGTGAGCAAACCCAGCGAACTTCAGTCGCTGTATCAGCAATGGAGCGATACTCCACTTCAGTGGAAGACCGAGCGATGGTTCGCTGCTTGCGAGAAGACCAAGAAATGGGATTTTTACCAAGGTAGAGGATGTATGCACTAGTGGAGGACATGTCATCCTTGTTGCCTCCCCAATCAGCATCCGAATATGCATGGAGAGAGGATGACGCCATGTGATGAAACAACAACCCTTCATCAAGAGAACCATAGAGATAACGCAAAAGGCGTTTTGCAAGCTGCCATTGATAGTCAGTAGGTTTGTGCATAAATTGAGATAATTTGTTGACAGCATATGAAACATCCGGACGAGTGAGTGCCAAGTATTGAAGGCTGCCCACTGTTGCCCGATACTATGTAGGCTCGGCTAAGGGAGAACCATCAGTGAGAGCAGGCGTTTTTCCTGGTGGTAGTGGAGTAGAGGTGGGCTTGGCGGCTGTCATACCCGTGCGCTCTAGGAGGTCACGGATGTACCTCTTCTGCGAGAGAAAAAGACCAGTGGGGCTGGAATGAACTTCCACGCCAAGAAAATAGGACAACGGCCCCAAATCCTTAAGTGAAAATCGTTGAGCTAGGGTCTTGACAAACTGCGTAACTTCCCCTGAATTACTGCCAGTGACAATAATGTCATCGACATACATCAAGAGATAAATAATGTGAGCACCATTGCTAAAAACAAACAAGGAAGTATCAGCAAGGGAATTAAGAAATTCGAATTGTGTGAGAAATTGATGAAGTTCCTCGTACCAAGCACTGGGTGCTTGTTTGAGGCCATAGATGGCTTTTCGCAGCTTGCAGACACTCGTTGGGTTATCAGGATCTAGGAACCCCGGAGGTTGAGTCATATAAACATCTTCAGATAAGCAACCCTGCAAAAAAACGTTATTTACATCTAACGGCGAAGAGGCCAGCCATGAGTAACAGCAAGGCTCAAGACCACTCGAATGGTCACAGGTTTAACAACCCGGCTAAATGTTTTGAAATAGTCGAGCCCAGGTCATTGATGAAAGCTTTTGGCTACAAGCCGAGCTTTGTAGCGAGCAATTGACCCATCTGAATGTCGTTTGAGCCAAAAAATCCACTTGCACCCCACCACATTGGATGGACGCCCAGTGGGTACCAAATCCCATGTACCATTTCGAGTGAGTGCATCAAACTCCTCAGACATTGCTTTACGCCAATTTGGATCTTTCAAAGCTTGGGTGACACATGTTGGTTCAATAGGTGGGTGTAGTATGGAGGTGAAGGTGAATTTTTGAATAGGCTTGTGGATGTTATTTCTGGAGTGAGTGGTCATTGGATGGGTGGAACGAGGAATGAGGGCAGCCTAGGTGGTGGTGGATTGATATGGCCGTGAGGTGGTAATGTTGGAGAAGAAGGAGATGGTTCGGTGTTTAAGGGAGAAGGGACCGCAATCTGTGAAGAGTTAGAATCTCTTACACGTGGCGTGGACTGTGAAGAGTCTATCACGTTGGAGACGACATTGGGCGCTGGAGATGCAGTTACGTTTCGCATTGTGAGTGGGCAATGAACTACTAATGTGGGTGGAACCCACGACTCAAGTGGAGGCTGAACATAGTTGGATTCTTGAGTTGAGTGTGAAGAGTTATATGGAAACATGGACTCGACAAAAGACACATGGCGAGAAACAATAGTTTTGGAGGACTCTTGATCAAAGCACAGATAACCACGTTGTGACAAAGAATAGC